GTTCAAATACTCATTCTTTATACACTTTTTGTATGATTATAATAAAATGAAACTGCTAATATTTCTTTATTTCTTTGTACTTAGACTTGTTTTGTGAAAGAATCATAAGAAGTTTTCAACATGAATAAAGCAAAACTTTTTAAATTCTGTTTCGTAAGTAAAATCAGATGAAAAGATCTTCTGTGTTTGATATTAAATTATACTAATATTCTTTATTAGTTGTACAATAGAATGTATACAAAAATTATTCCTACATGAAAACAATAGCACTAATATTTGACCAAAAGATATTTTTTATTATTAATAATCAATTATATTTCCAGTTACATTTTGACACCAAATGCTATTTTAACTCCTCTCCCCTTTATCATCTTGGTCTATTTCCTTTCTCACATTTAACTGACCGAAAATAAACAACTTGAAATGTATTCTATTTTTGAATATTCTTACAATAAATAATTATATTATTTCAAATTTATCCTTATATTAATATTTCAAAAGTTAAAACTTATTACAACATTTCATTGTTTAATAACAGTAACATATTTAAACTAGACCTCCACTCAAACTAAGCACGAGTAGAAAAGACGTCTGAATGCAGAATTTTCACAATCTTCATATATGTTCATAGTTATTTTTTAAAATCTAATTTATCTCTTATTAATAAATGAAGTTGGACATTGATTGATAACAAATATCAATTGCATATCCCTTTATTAGAACATTATTGTTCTTTTTATTTTGTATATATAGTAAATCTTCGAGACTCTTTCATGGATAAAGTTAATTTATGCAAAACGATAATTAACGTGTATATGCATATAAGATACGAGATATCAATGGTCACTAAAATACTAAGTCATTTATAACTATATAAAGAAATTACCAGCTGTTAATTACCATTTATTTTTTTTCTTGCAACTTCCACATGGAGTCAAAGAAAAATGAATTTCAGATGTGCCCTACGCACATTCTCACGAGTTTGACAAGTTTTTTTGTGGGGTGTGGGTAAATTTCCTCTTTCTGGCCTCATCCAAACTCACCCACACCAAAATCAGTTTTTTCAGTGTAGAAACTCTCATTTACAGCTGATAGTTTGATGTAAGAAACCTTACAAGCATTTGTCTCTTTACCATTTTGATGTAGATAAACATATACGACAAGTTAATCTAAGAAGACAATGAATTTATAAACTGTTCATTGATTGAAATATATAATTTTGTAGAATGCATCAATCTAGTCCAATGTTATTTCCCTATCGTACGAATCTCCAATGACTAATTTCATCTTACATTTCATTGAGAAGAATTTTTTTCATAACAGCTTTATGTTTTTTTTTATCTGAATAGATTTAATACAAAATTTATCGTTTTAATGGAATAATATTCATCATATTAGATGATTATGATTTTAATTTTGTAACATTCTTTATATTCCTAAAGGTATTCATATTGACAATCTTATGTTTGAAAAGTTTCCTGTTTTGAAATTTTATTGTCTCATATCCTACTTGCTTGGATATATTTTTCGACGATTTTTGCAGCTTTAATTAAAATTATCTTAGTGTTCTTTTTAAAATTCAATAGAAGATGCTAGATAAATGAATATTATTCCATTGAAATGATAAGTCTCGCATAAAACACGTGCAGAGGTGAAAGACATACTGATGTTATGAAAAACAATTTTTCTCAAAAATATAAGATAAAATTATTCACTCAAAATTGATAATATACCAAAAAGCAGTGGAATATATCGATGCATTTCAAAGTATCCTCCTATTAGATAGAGTTCTTTCTTTTTCTCTATTAAATTATATATTTCGATCAATTACCATTAAGTTTATTGATAGGAGTCAAAAATTTTTAATCGGCTTTTATTATGTCCAAAAACTACATAAATGCAATAGAGAAAAAGATATCTTTTGTAGAACTTTAAAAGATCTATGAAAAAAGAAATAGAGGAGGTAGATCAAACAAATTGATTCAGTCATCTATAGATAATCAGATCAAAGTGAAAGTTTTGTAAATCTCCTAACTCTCTTCTCAACTGATGATTTACTTCGAAAATATTGATATCAAATGCTATCAAAATTTGATGCTTTTATTTAACCAAATGTAATTGACTGAAGGCAATAGTTCCTTGAAAAGAGCAACAACAATTATATTCGATATGAAAAGATAAAGGCATGCGTAGTCTGTGGAACTATGAGACTTCTTTAAAAGACAACAGTTGGCGAAATTAACTTTATCACTCACTGGACTTGTCTCAATGTACGAGGAAACAGTAGTTAAGAAAAAACACATTTTTTATATGAGCGCATAAGTAAATTTATAAGAATCATGACTTTTCAGAAGAATTTGAAAAGTTTGTTCAAGATTTTTATTGATAAATTTACTAACAATCAAAAAATTTGCGTATAAATACTACATTGTATGGAAATAACTATTAAGGCTAATGATTCAAATATTTCTTTAACTAGCGAATACTTGAATAGGAGTTAACAGACATGTTTTTTTGTTTTTGTTTTTAATGCATAGTTTTTAAAACAATCAATGACATAACTATTAACTACTTCTACCAGGGTTCGGCAAGATTTCAGCATCATCATTTTACAGATCGTGACCTTGCAAAGTTCTCTTTTATTTTTGAATAACTTTTGAAAAATTTATATTCCAAATATCCAAACACAAAGATTGCTTTGTTTTGGCAAAAAATATAAGATTTTCTTAAAGTTAATTAAAGAACAGAGTGAATATTTGTGATACAAGTCAATTCTAATTTTATCTGAATTTTCAATTATTCAGGAGAAATATATTTATTTAAGATTAGAAGATTTAACTGATAATATCTTAGAGTTTCTGAATTTCGTCGATGGCGAATGTCTGAGAAAGAATGTCTTTGCTAGAGTTCAAGAAATGACATATTGAAGAAAATCAGGTAATCTTATATTACAATAAAACTGAATGATCGAGTTTATGATCCTGATGATTCTTAAAAGTAGATATCAATGACAATTATTAGCTAGGAAAATGTGAATGAAATTGATTGATCTATTCAGAAGAGACAGACAATAAACTGTAACTGTGGAAAAATATTTTATTAATCTAGAAGATTTGCAACGTCTTGCTTGTTGAAACAAAACGCAAACTAAATTGATAATTGTCCCAAAATCAAAAAAAAAGAAACACTTCTTCAGAAGAAAAAGTGAAGAATACAACGAATTCGTAGACAATAGAATGTATGGCTTTGTAGATGAACCGAAAACTCACACCTTATTGTATATATTTCTGTTTAAATTAAGTTTTATGAGAAAAAATTTCTTTATTTTGTTTCGTCACATGTATGCAAAGTTTACTGTGTCAACAACAAAAAAAATATTTGAAACAAAGTTAAATAAGTTAGAACACAAAATTTAAATCACGAAAGTAGATTGTGAGAAAAAAAGTTTTGAAGCTAATCGTCTCTCCTATTTTCAGTAATGAAAATAGAACAGGATTCAACATCATACTATTCATTGAAACAACGACTTCTTCCATAAACATATATTAGTAATTTTGAAAAAATGAATAAATATAGATAGGCATATGAAAAAAAAATGATTAGCTAAGATATAATCATTTTTGTAAAGTTGTGATGTTATATGTGATTATCAAACGATGTTCGATGAAATATTTTGCAAAGCGATCAATTTACATTTATAAACATTTACCAAAAATTCAGAAATAAATTTAAAATAAAATCTAAATATGTTTGAAGTATTCTAGAATGTGTTTACAAGCCTTTTAGTATCTTTAGAATGTAACAGAAACATGGTGCGATCGTTTTCTTAAAGAATATTCTTTGGTGATGATCGAATTTTCGTTATTTATGATTTATTTTTTCTGAAATCATGCATTTTGATGATCGTATTGTTGAGTTTTAACATATGCGTTTCATTAAAAAAATTCTCAGAAATTTGAAATCTAAAATAATTTTACAGGATAATACCGCGCTTGTCAGGCATCGAACTGAACTCAAACCTGTGGAAGTTGGTTTGATTCCTTTCCCTGATAGTTATCGTTAAATAATGTCAATGATGAATTGCTTTTTACATTAAAATATTCAATCTTTTTCTTTATTATGAAATTTTTTTTGTATTGATAACAAAATAATAAAAAGTACGAATAATAAATCAAGAAAAAAGAATTGTTATTTGAATAAAGAGAAACAATTGTGTAGTGCGAGATTTTTTGAATTTATCATTTTCAATGGATTTTCAGAAAATAGTTCAATAGGATGAAGTATGGTAGCTGCTTTTACATATAATCTACTAAACCAAAACGATTCAAAGATTGTAGATGTGGTTAAACAGAATATCAACATCTATATTCACATTCTTCTTGATATTATTAAAAGTACTAGTTATAAATACAAGTTTTAATCCAGATTTGTGCAAATTTCTCTTAAACTCTAACGACATGGTTTAGAAAAGTTTTCGTTAAAACTTCAATGGCTAAAATATGTTTAATGGATACATGTAATCGACTTATTTACTAGTTAAATCAACAATTAAAATCATAATAAAACATACGATATGAAATATAAATCAATAAGCCAAACAGAAATTAGAGCACAAAATAAATGACAATCTATTCTGATTGGTTTAGAAAATTTAGATATGATTGTTATAGTAGAGACCAATTCTAGTAAAAAGAAAAAAAGTAGATAAATTAATTCTTGTTGCTATGTTTCCATTTTATGAATTGATATTTTTAGTCTTTATTGAGTATGCGGGCATGGATGACAGAGGGAGAGAGAGTATATGGTTCATCAACATATCCAAACAACATCTGCATCCACACCGTATTTTGAATGTGTTCAAGTAAATCAGCATATAATTTTTCTAGATTCGATTCATTTATGAATGCTTGTTCAAATTAACGTCAATGTTCAATATTCGTTAACTAAAATAAATAAAATAGATTTTGCTTTTTTGTTGATATAATTGATATTTGCAGAGACTATTTTCGATCAGCAATAAGAAATAAACGATTGCCTGATTCTTCGAAACGAACACTGAAACGTGATAACATCAATAAAAACCTAAAAAAATAAAATATATACTATATTATCAATGAAAATTCATTTTGACATTTCATGACGAAATTTATATGATTTTGTATTGATCGTCATTCCTTCGGATTGCAACAAAGAGTTTTTGTTTTTCATTAATGTTTTACTATTTATCTTTTCCAAATAAATTTTAATTGTATGTGTAAGTCTTGATAATTTTTAAAAAGAAAACTAGGAAGAATATTTAACCATAGGCAGAATTTTACTCATAAGAGGGTGTGGGTGTGGAAATCATTATAGGTCTTGTCTTCACCCACACTCACACCCTGTGATAGACATGCACTTAACATAAGACAAGTTAACCCCCATATAGCCATACTTAGTGATTTTTCTTTGTGCAATATTTGTCATTGATAATAAAGTCCATTCATTAACTTTAGCTGAATAACGTGCATTAATTAAAGCACGAAAAAAAAAACTAATGCGTGCAAGTAATAATGATAAAGGACGTAATAAAAGTAAAGCTTCATATGGTAATGTTGATGATTGTTTAGTACGTTCATATAATTCTTCAACAAGTTCAATAAGAATATTATCTGATGATGATATTATTGATAAACTATCAATTATTATTTTTTCTTTATTAACATGTTCATTATTTAATGGATTTGTATTTTTATTTGGTCGTTGTGATAATGTATAAATACATGAAAGTATTAACACCATATATCATTTTTGGGATATTGACCAACTATTAAAAGTTTTTCAAGACTAATTGATATAATTTTTTGTGTTAAATTATCATCTTTAATTAATGATAATCAAATATCATATGAATTTAAATTAACTTCATGAATTTCAAGTAAAAATAAACATGATGCATATGCATGAGTTTTAGTTATTATTTTATAATTACGTTCAATTAAATGTATATATAATTCATTATATTCTTTTGTTCTTTGTTCAAGTAATATACTAGATTTACATAAATTATAACTTATTAAGGATATCATTAAAGCGTCTTCATCAAACCATGTACAAAAATATTCATCATATAAATTTGATAAATGTTGTGATGATGGAAATAAATCAGATAGATATATAAATGAACCTATTAATTCATATTACATATATTTCAATTAGAATTTGTAATGATAATGTTAAATCAAAACCATGATGAAACAATAAGCAATCAAATAAACTCTAAATTATATATTTTTAAAGATGGATGCCAGAAAAGAAAATGTTCATAATCTAATTTTCTGATTGATAGAATATATTTGAAATTATTGATATAAACTTTTATCTCTATGAAATAAGATAGTTTACATGTATTATATATCATATCAAAGTCAGAGAAACACTAGATTTTCTATTTAATACAATATAAATCATGTCAATAAATATATGATATGTATATACATATTTAATTTTTCTTGTTAAATAATAAAGATGATCAAGATCATTAAATAATAAAAGTAATAATTGAATACAAGATCTTTTATCTGGTTCAATTAAATTTAAATATGATTATAATATATTTGATATAGTTAAACCATATCGTTGATAAAGATATTCAAATATTGATGGTAGTGTTTTCGATAATGTACAACATGATATTATTTGATCTGTTTCACAACTAAGAAATGATTTTGTTTTTTGAAATATATTTATATAAATTATTTCAGATATAAATATTATAAAACGTAATAAATCTTGTATATCACCTGTTGAAAATTGACATGTTAATTCAACATGATTTTGTATTTTATCAAAATATATTGATAGAGAATCTATGAATGCAATTGGATATGGTTGATTATTAGAAGCATGATAAAAGACTTTTTTCATAAATTTTATTAGGTGTTGTTTCAATGTCATTTTAATTTATTTCATTTGATATAACTATACAAAATCCAAGAAAAATAAAAAAAGAACAGATTTATATTGTTTCTTATTTTCTCAAATCAATTTTCATTTACTATAAGAATCATCCTAAAGATTTAATGCTGTAGAAAAAATCCAATACGTTTTCGGAGTTCACGAGTTCAAACTTATAGAAAGTTTATCAAAATTCTCGAATGCAATTTATTTCGAAATATAATATTAGAAAGACGTCGTTTTCTTTAATTGTAATAGTACAAATAGCACGACTGAGAATTTGATCAATAAGATTCGAGAGGAATTATTCGGTCATTGTACTAATGTAGCTTAAATGCTTTCCTTTACGATTTGTATTACCTGAAATTCTGCATATTTTCTATTTCAAAATATTTTTCAAAATTTTGAATTATTCAAAAGTCTCATCTATTACTAGCACATAAACAATGTCAAAGTAAAAACAAAAAAATTTCTTTTAATTGGATTAAAATTTTTATTATACATATATATTTATTTATTTCGATAAATTAAACTAAAATATACCGGTGACATCATAAATGGTAATCATTTTTTATAAGTTATATTTTTAAGCATTTGTTCATAAATTTTTCTTGTTATATCCATAGGACAATTAAGATTATTAAAATCTTCTTTAATAATATCGATTGATATTGTTATTGATAATATTTGTAAAATTTATGGTATATATTTAGGTAATAATTGTTTATTTAATGGTAATGGAAGAAATTGTTCAATTAATAAAACTAATGTAAGACCACTTTCATATAAATGTATTCCTTCAGAAACGAATAAATGACTTCCAACTGATGTATGATGTATAAGATCAAATAAAAAATAATAATAATAATTGATAATATGTTGTTATTGATGTAAAATGTTCAACATATAATTCATGATGACATATTAAATCACAATAAGATTGTAATTGACTACTTATAGATAAATGTGTTATTAATGATGATGGTGTCAATATTGGTGATCACCATGCTTCTTGTGTATAATCAAGTATATTCAGAATATGTATCCATTGTAATAATAATGAGATATAAAATGATGATCATAATAATTTAAAACATTCATTTAAAATAGTTAAATATGAAAATGTATCAAGACGATGTAGAGTTTCATCATGAATTAATCATTGACATAAATCATTTACAATTGTTCGAAATTTGTTTAACTAAAATAAAATCATAGATTTTATATAAGTACAGGATTTTTAAAGTCAAATGTTTTTCGCTAGGTCATTAGTAATTAATGAATTGCAGAAAAGTTTTATCTTCAAATTAATGGGTGATATGTACATAAAGATAATCGGATGCAAGAGAAACTAATGTCATATTGATTTGATCACATAATTGTCAAGTATTAGTTAAAATTCGTAATATTACGTCATGTAAAATTCGAAGAAAAGCTCTGAAAACAAAAACGAGAATAATAGTTTTTAAATTATAAATAAAATCATTTCGAATACGTACGCACTAAAAGTTTCATCTCGTGTTCCATTAACTGATAATAAAACATCACTCTATCGTGTTAATATAGCATCTTCAGTTAAATTTTGTACAAGACATCGAAGTATTATATATATATTGATTAACTATCGATTTGTAGATTGACAATTGACATTCTAAAAAATTGTAAACTACAGAAAAATTTTATAAATAAAAACAACGGACATTTCTATTTACTAATGCCCGAAAAGCAACATCAAATAGTGTTAATTGTGTGGATTAAATATCCAAAAGTGATTGATTCTATTTGAACAAAAAAAAGTAACGTAAAATCAGAGACTATTAAAAGAAAAATAACCTGAGATTGTAAATGAGCAAGAAGTAAATCGACAATTTGTCATGAAAGACGTTTCCATTTATCATCTTCAATTTGAACACTATTAATAATAATTGTGAACAATCGTAAAGCCTATAACAATATAGATTCTATTATTATTTTTTCAGTACATACACATGACACGAAAAGATACTTTTATTTATAATAATTAAGACGCCTAGTTTTCCTTCAAACTCAAATACATAACAACAAGATGATTATTTTCAGATCATCAATTCGTTGAAGTATGGGTGTGGGTTCAATCGAGGAGAAAAATTACATCTACACACCCATACTCACACCCTCTCATTTAATAAAACGTTTTAGGAATTTTAATTATTCGCATAACTCGAACAAGAAAAAAAATCATATAAAACTAGTTTTAATGCTGCCAAAGCTAAATAAATAATTTTAACGATAATTTATTTTTCTCGAAAATGTTTTTCTTTGCTTCCTACCATGTGTTTCAGGTTCATGTCCACTTGCTAATAATTAATCATAATGTTTTATTAAATCTTGTACTTTAATAACTTGTTTTGAATGAAGTGTATCATGTGATAACATAACAAGAAATTCAGCAATACAATAAATAAAATGCCATTCAAAAATAAACGAAACGATTAGAAATGCAACGAATTTCATCAGCTTCTAATTAACTATAATTAACACGAATTAAAAGTAATTGAACAAGTAAATCGAGTACAGCAGCTTGAAAATCACTTTCATTTGTATTAATATATTTTCTAAGACTAATTTTTTAGTTCAATTAAAACTAAAATAGAAAACAAAAAACAGACAGAATAAATCAAATTCGTTTTTTTTGTTTATTTTACTCTCGTATTGCACTATTTTCTATGGATTGATCACTATTTATACTTGATGCATAACATGAACCAAATAAAATAAATCATCGATTGTCGAATACTTATCGTATGAATATAAGTTAAAGAATTATTTAATAATACTTGTGAAGAAACATTTGAAGATTTAATAAAAACTAAATTAAAAGAATATTTTTAAATGAATATTGAGTTAACAGAAAAAGTGATTTTCGAATTTCGAATTGATAGTGTGTCTTGTAGTTCGCTCACGTCAACTAGATGATTTAATATTCGAATTTCAAGATAGAACCGAATCAAAAGATCTGACACTTTCACAACAAAACTACTCTCGTTAAGATCATCGATATTCGTAAAATCAGTTTTTCTGTTATCTATATTGAAATTTTCCTTACCTAGGAAAGACCCTTTCAGAAACCTTAATTATAAGATTTCCATCTAAGGTTTTATCCATAGACAAGTTTCAGACACAATACAACATCCTAAAGGTTTTAGCTTAAACAATAAATAAAGAAGATTAATAATTGAAATTTTCTTTACAATAAATATTTACTATTTAAAAGAAGTTACCTTTTGCGTACATTGAATGTTGATTTAAAATAATTAAGTGTTTCTCTTCCAAATTTTTTTGATAAATCTTGTGTAGAAATAAGACTTAAAACTGATTTCATAGACAATAATGATCATTTCTGATGAGTTTAATAAACTTTTATGTATTTGATAAGATGAACGTATTAATTCGGATAATTTCCAAAAGTACCTAATTGTGTATGATTAACTTTTTTAACTTTGTCTGTATTTGATGTTGTTGATGAATCTTTTTCATTCTATTTAAAAAGAAAAAACAAATGAATTCCTTTAGATAAGACATGATCAAATACATTTTTCAAATCTAAAACTTTGGAACTCTCTTCTTCTGTGAAAACTGAAATATCAACTATATTCTGTCCAAAAGAATGATGATATTAAAATAGTTCAATTTTTCGAATTACTTGAATCATTTATGCTACTTTCAAAACATTTTTTCGTTTGCTGAGATTTGATAAATCTTCAAATAAAAAGAAAGAATTTAAAAAAAAACATAATAAATATCTTTTTTTCTCTTTACTTGAAAAGATTAAATTATTAAGATCATGTAATATAAATGGATGTTTAAAGAAATTTATAAATAAACGAAGTTCATCATATTAATTATTGAAAAAATTGGTCGAATTGTTGTTGGTCTTAAAACATTTGAAAGAACATAAATATCTTCTAAACATCCAACCTATATAAAAGACAAAAATGACATACAATTTGTATTCGATTTGATGCTTGAGCGTGTAATGAATGATGAATTTTATATATCCATTGACATGGTAAAAATAAATTGTGATCAACAAAACCTTAAAATCAAAAAGTAGCTAATAACTAACTTAATTCAATAAAATCGACTTATGCATCCAAATTCGAAAAAAAACTACCTAGTTAATATCTCTACAAAATACATACTTAGCAAAAGTCGAAGCAGTTGCTTGACGAACACGTATATCAGGGTACTGTTGTTTTAATTGTTGTTGTTCAAGATAAGTTAATATTCGAAAATCAATATCATCTATAAGTTGAGCTAGAGCAAACTATTTTATATACATACAAAAAAAAAATTATTATAATAATAAATTTCTTTTATCTACTTTAGCAAGAACATAGGAACTTGTACTATGTTGAATAAAATCTTTCAATAATTCAATTCCTATGATTGTAAATGCATGACTATTAATTAATAAAAAAAGGTAATAATGTTCGTAAAGCATTTAATGAAACATGTATAACACGTGCATTATTATCATTAAGACATAAAACCTTGAACTGTCTTGTGAATCAGTTGATACAAGTGAACATTGATTAATAAAAGAATTATTAAATGAATTTCATAATGACGATAGTGTTAAAAGATGAATTGTTGTTTGAATTAATGTAATAAGTAAATTTGCACATGCACCACGTAAATGTAGATCACTGTGTTCACATAAAGATAAAAGATATGTAATATCTTAAAGAAAAGAAAAAAAAGATACCTTGATGTTCGATAAATTTTAATGTATTTCAAGTCAGATAGAGATGAGAATTTCATTTTTCTCATTAGGAAATTTCATATCAATTACAAAACTATCTTTAATCAAAAATCTTCAAAAACTAATGAAAAATTCCTCAGAGGATACAACTGATTTCATATCTCGAACTTCGGCTTAGAAATTTTTTTGAGGTAGTTATGTGATTATATAATTTCAATCTCTAATGTATTGATGCAGGCTTTGAGCTTCAATAAAATGTTCTACTTGACATCTTTTCGAGTCTGATAATGTTCTAGTCTTTTGTTGATTCCAAAAAAATTAAAAATAGGAATAGGACTAGAGTTGCTGAATCAATATTCAGAAATCTCCATCCTTGAGTTTTCAAATTCCAATATATATATATATGTTTCAACAATTTAATAGTGAAATTGTCATATCTATCAGATAACTTTCACTAAAACTTTGAGACTTTAACCAATTGAAGCCACGTCAACTAAACTCTGTCATAATCCCCTTCACCTAGGCCCTCCTACTGTTACGACATTAGAAATCATTTTGGATTATAAAAAAAAGTCAAACAAGAATTAAACATACTTTCAGTAAGATAAACAAATGGATCAAATTGTTTATCAATACGAGACATATTGGTATAGCACATTTAACACTAATACATAATTCATCATCACTTTTTATTGTACCATCCATATTAAGTATATATCTAATCGGAAAAAAAATATAATTGATTAACAAGTTCAGCAGCTGATATTCATTTTTCATTATTAATCATTGATGTTGAATCGAATTCATCATTCATTTCAATAAATCAACGTTGACATGTTGAATAGGCTATTGTTTTAGAAAAAAAAAACAAATGAAAGAAAAATTCTTGTTTTTCTTCTCAATATTTACCTGTTTTTCAGGCTTCACTAACACGAATTTCTTCTATAGATCCAATTCGGGTTGAAATTAATAATTGATCAAAATCAAATAAATTTGAATAACGAAGTAATTGAATAATTTTTTTTATTAAATCAAGATAATCAATTATTAAATGTGTATTAGCATTTTGATTTTGATGTCCAAGTAATTGATCTATTAAAATAAAAGACAATTATAATGAATTGAAATTATTATTTGAAAGAAAACTTACCAATCACATTTGCCATTAGAAAACGTGCTATAACCATAGGATAACACATTTGCTGACTAGGCCATGAGAAGTTTCTAAGAATAGTTTAGTAGTTTACTAAATATTTCAAAAGAAAACTATTTATTATTGATATTAGGAAAAAAACAGAAGAATTCGTTTTCACTCGATTTCATACTTCAACTATAACGATAGCCAGTGAACTCCTATGACTAAACCATTCTTAAGTTGCATGAAACTCTACGCTCGATTACTTTCGAGGCTGGATCATTCCAAATGATGGACAGCTTCTCAGTCCATATTTCGTCAAATAGTATCAGACTACCGATTCTATATTATCTGAACAGCGTCTTCTCTTGCTTGAAGTTTTATCGAAACAGGGGTTTAGAAGTTATCGATTAACTAGAACAATCCTTGTCCGTGAAATGATTTATGGACTTTTCTATATTTTAATTCAATCGTACGACAGTTCTCTGATTACTTCTTTAGAAAAGTTGTTCTAGATGACAAAGATTTTCTTTTTTACTTACTTTGATTTCTTTCTCATGAATTCAAGAATATGAAAAATAAGTTCATAATATTCTGATAAAATGGTTGAATCGTTTTCAGATGTATTGCATTTGCTAATTTGGCAAACCGTCATAGAACATCTAATCGAAATTTAAAAAAAAAATCCTTATTATAAATTTAAGTCAAATAATAAAAATAACCTTTTAAAGCATTTGGTTCAAGATTAGGATTATGTTTTATAATTCGATGTAATTCAACTTGAATTCTTGTTAAAACAGCTTCTTTTAAATTCTATTTTATAATTCATACAAAATTATACAGAAAAAAAGAATTTCTTTTATAATACTTTAACAAATTTATTAAGATTTTCTTCAGCAGTCAATCGTACATTATAATCATTTTCATCACATGTTGTAAATAATGTTTCCACGTTAGCTTTAATTAATTTAAAATAATTTCCTTGTTACCTCTAGATGAGAAAAACATTCTATAAGAGATATAAACAAAATGAAAAACAGAAAAAGATCCAATTATTTACTTGATTATTAATATTTTTGATGCTGTTGTTGAAAGTAATTTTAAAACTTCAACTGATTTACTTAGTTTATCCATGTTGTATCATAATTTACATTCAATTCATTTATTTTAAAGTCAAATAAATAAATGACTAAGTTTAAACATTTTTTGATAATCATAACAAATGAATGAATAGTCGACTGAAAAAGCCTAACAGCGATTGAATATTCATAAACACCAGGGTTTGCAATGGAAATCTAAAACAAAATGTATCTGTACATTTTACTTATATAACTAAAGTGTATCAAAGTGTACGGATACGGAAGTCAACTTTTTTCAAATATAAAATATAAATTGAAGTATTCGGATCATTCATAACCGAGAAATGTAAGTAGATAATCATCCAAAAATAACAAGTACCCATCCTATTTCATTATCTACCGTTTTACAAAAAAATAAGCAAAGAAAAACGCGAGTTTATAGAAAAAAACATAAACGAGTTTTGTATTACATAGAGTCGCATCATTATCAGAGATCGAGAAAAAAAGAAGGCATATCTAATTAATGATAAGACCGATCGAAAGATATTACAATTTACTATGGCCTTTCCATTCTATTTAATTTAAAACTTCTTAGCACTCTTAACGCATTAATATGAAAGTGTAAATTTATTCTCTACAGTGTACGACGTACACTTTGTTTTTCCAACCAAAGTGTAAAACAGAGTGTACATAAAGAACAACAGATGTTCTGTACATTTTGTTTCTGCTTGGTACACCTGCTATTGCAAACCCTGATAAACACCATTGACATAAATTGAAAACCTTATCATCAACCGAAATTCTTATAAGTCTGAAGTCTCTAAAAATAGATATAAAAAATTTAATACTCTGGTCAAAATTCAATAGAAATCCAAATCCTTTTAAGGTTTTAATTAGAAAATTATTTATTATTTCGAATATATTTTTGGCAGATATTAAAACTATTTACATCCATATTTTTTATGTAATGTTCCTTATAATGGCTGTATGAAACTTCATCCACTGTTCACCATCAATTTTGTTGACATATATTTTAATATTGGAAGCTTTTGTTTGTCTTGAATATATACAAAAATGTTTTACAATACTATTCACATCGGTTTCTGTAACATCTGATTCTTGATGAGAGACTATTCGTGTGGTTTTATTTTAACTCATTATAGTGCACCAAAACTTCTTTCACATTCATTATGATGAAGTTGTTAAAGTTTCACATAATTTTAAAATATAGTCTTTGCTACACGTTCAATAGGAATATGTTTCGATCTTGTAAATACTAGAAGTATGTCTAAAGACGTTATTTTGCGCTGGAAGCAGGCAGATGGCGTACAGAATAGTTGAGTCTGAGGAAAAGAGAGGACTACACAGATACTTTTCAAAATCAGGAAGAAAAGCGTTGGTTACGAGGGTGTGACTGTGGCTGTGGCAGTGATTGTAAGCAAAGGTTACTTCTATACACAAATACCCACCCACACCGTACACTCGCCAACACCCATGCCTTGTTGGCAACAGTAGAAGCCATCATCGACTAATAAGACACTGCCATCCATCGCCCTTTCGTATTGAAGTCCAA